GGTGTGTGCGTGGCTCGCTGGGGACCTCGCAGCTCACAGGGCACTGTAGGTGTGTCGGTCACGATGAGCTGAAGGTCTGCACACAGCTTGCTTCCATGTCCTGTGAGAGGCCCTGTCCAGGCCACTCTGTAGTTGTTGTGTGTTTGTTTCGGAGTGCTCAGGCGAGTGTTCCTCTACTAGGGAGAAAGGTCTGATGAAGACGTGTGTGCTGTGCGGTTCCCCTGTCCAGTGCAGGACGTGGTCACGGGAAAGGCAGCCTCCCAGCTGCACTGCCCCTGGCAGTGAACTTCCGCACAATCCCAGCTGTGCCGGGAGGACTTGTATGCAGAGCCCACAGATGGAGCCCGCAGGAAGATGACACCGTCTTCTGCAAGAGGCCAGGAGTCTGAAACAGCAGAGGAAATCTTCACTAGCTTTCCAGTGACATAAGAGCGTGGATTTCCTGGCCCCTTCACAGAGCCCTCCTGGAGTGGGAGAGTGAGGTAGTTTGTTTGTCCGGTGCGTTCTTGGTGTTAGATTTCCCTTGGTCTGGCATTCGTCATCGTGCTGGCTGAGAGGACGGATTCTTGGGTTCCTGTCTCCCTGGGCAACTTTCTGACCCCGTTAGCCTCAGGTTCCCCTATGGCCTGAGTGGTCCTGCCACCAATGCTTGAGAAGGCAGTGCTGGACCTGAGAGTCGGGTCTCTGCTGCTTCCTGCTCCTAACATACCTACGGTCCCCTGTGAGCTGCGAGGTCCCCAGCAAGCTACACACACATTCCTCAAGGAGAAGGCTTGCCTTCCCAATAGTCTTAATCTGCAGCAGTCTTTTATAGAATGTTCTTCGCCACTTACTGTCTTTTCAGTGCAGTGTATGCAGTCTTATTGTTGCTTATCTCTAAGTATGTGTGTCCTGCCTTCTCACCTGTATACTCCTTTGGTGCCTGGACTCTATTGTACCTCCGCAAACATCCAGATCCTGAGGTGTTACTTTCTCAGAACTGATGCTTGAGTGTCACTTGATGATGCTGTGCTCTTGAACGAGTACTAGCCAGGCTGACAGGGACCTCCAGAGCTTCTACCACGATGGAGCTGTGCTCTTTTCGTCTGTAAAATGAAGATCTCTGTGGTCCTCCTGCCTTGACATCTTTATATTTAGTGCTTCCAGGCCCCACACCTTACTTTATTTTTCAGTGATGAGGAAATCCTCGCTCTTAATGTGGCAGCTTTGTTGTAGGCTTGTCCTAATTTCAGGCATTAGTAATTAGAACTGGTGATCTGGCCTGATTTGTAGGACTGAATGGCAGGAGCTGATTGGCACGTATGCACGTCTGAGAAGTCTGGGCCTGCCTTGCCAACTTCTGGAGTGCACTTGTGAGGTAGTTCCATCGGATTAGTGTAGAGGTTACATCTGTTTGTCCTGTAATGGAACTGAGCTGTTTTGCTTTAACCTGGCACCTGAATTTGTGTAGACTGGGCTCATTCCTCCTCCTCTTCATCTCCTCTCCATCGTCGTGTTGGTTTGTGTGGCCAGGTGCAGTCTGTAGCCCACTCTGATCAGATGGTGAAAACTAATGAGACCAAGCAGCAGGTTCTGGGTGTGGCAACGTTCTGGCAGTCGTAAAAGAAGTGGCGCCCAGAGAAAACTGTGGACTCTTCCCTGAGTTAGTTCTTGCAGCTACTTGTAGTATTCGTGAGGATCGTAGTGACGCATGTAGCATATGTTGGGTGCCAGGTGCTCTTCCAGGCACCATCCGTACACCAGTTCAGTTAACCCATGTAGCGTGCTGTGGGAGAGGTACGGTTATTACCCTTGACAGCTCAGGAGGGGGATGCACGGAGGCTGGGTAACCTGCCCGGGGTCACCCCCCTGAGTGGGAACTACTGCGGTGGTCTGTGTAAGAGACTCATGGGGGGTGGTCTTCTAGCTGCGCTTCTGCCTAAGGCAGTGATTTCAAGTGTTTGTGAAATTCGAACACCTGAAATTTAGTTTTGGTGTACCTTTCATGTGTACATTTATTGCTAATTTCTAATACAATTTATATTGTTAAGGAGCATTTAGTAAACCTTTTATTGATGTATTAATGGAGAAAAATGAACAAATCATAAGAACAGAAAATGCACAAATCTTGAATTGTCACAAAGAGTACACCCAGGACAAGAAATGGAACGTTGCCAGCATCACAGAGGCCCCCTCCCTTGTCCCCAGTTGTAGCCACCATTCTGACTTGTTATTTCTGAACTTTTCATGTGCTTATTTTTAAAGTTAATTAAAATTTGAGGAAAGTTTTGATATTCCCTTAAGTCTAATAGAAACATCCTAGGGTGTTATGCATTGATAGAGTGGGTTCGTGCAGTTTGCTTCCTAAATATTTAGTTTTATTAGAGAGAGAGATCCTGGTACAAAGAACCCAGACCCTAAAGCAGAATGGTCTTTGTGGTGCACATCCCCGTCAGGAACCGTGAAGGGTCTGAGACCTTATTGCAGGCTGACAGTGAGCCTGACACAGTTTCGTCAGTGTGGCAGAAGACAGGAGATCCTGGGTCCGAGAGCAAAGGCTTGTTCAGCATGGCACAGCAGGCTTCGTGTTTGCATCTGTTCCTTGTGCCTCCGAGTTCCGAGGACCCAGGTGGACGCTGCACACACCGTGGGTGTGTATCATAGCCAAGGAACCCTCCAGTCTTATAAGGGGGCTGCTAGCAAGCCTGCCTAACCCTTGCCTCCAGGGGGACCATACCCTGTTATCCTGGTCTAGAAGCAGATCTCTTGACCAGCAGGGAGACTCCATCTACAGCTACAAGAAAGGCTGTCTGGGAGCCAGCCCTTATGGCCTAGTGGTTAAAATTTGGTGCTCTCGGTGGCCCAGGTTTGTTTCCTGGTTGCAGAACCACAGCACCTGTCTGTCAGTTGCCAGGCTGTGGTGGCGGCTTACGTAGAACAATTAGAGGGACTTACGACTAGGATGTACAACCATGCACTGGGGCTTTGGGGAGGGGAAAAAGAAAAAAAAAAGGAAGATTGGCAACAGATGTTAGCTCAGGGTGAATCTTTCCCTGCCAAAAAAAAGATCAAAGTCTAGGACAAAAGCTGACACAGACGTGAAGAAACACCTTGGAGAATTGCCTCCCAGTGATGTCCACCTCTTGTTCTGGATGGCTTTGGTCAAGTTTCCCACGTCATTGCATCAACCATTGTGATTAACTTGGCTGGGATCCGATCTGTGCGGGGTGTCTCCCACAGTATTTAATGAAGGCTACCATCAGTAGGACTCTGAGCTGTGAGCCTGCAGTATTGACCTCAGCCATGCGGAGGGTCCCAGCTGGACAGATACCATAAACCATGAGTGTCTGTTCCATTCGTTCAGTCACAAAGTGTTCCTGAGTTAGGTTATGAATAAAGTATGGTCCTTGCCCTCTGAGAGCCTGCCATCAGATACACGAGTGGTCATCCTACCATGAAACAGGTGCAGTAAGTGTATGCAGAGGGTCTGTACGGCCCCACGAGGAGGGGGAGGCTGAGGGAGGTGGGGAGGAGGGCTGGGTGGGGCCCCTCTCACTCTGGAAAGAAGATTGTGGTGGCAGTGCCAGAGGCAGGAGACCAGTTAGGCTACTGGCGTGGTCCAGTGAAGACTTCCTCACCATTCCTTCCGTATCTACAGCCCTGTGAGCTGTGGGGTGTGTTTGCGTCATCTCACTTTGTATTTGATGATGTGTTGCCTATTCTCAGATCACTTTGTATGATTAGGAATCGCAGTTCGACACAAGCTCTTCAGGTGCAGGTACCGCCTTTTTTGATGTCCAGCCTGGTGTTGCTGGATGTGGTGTCTAGTGCAGTAATTACATTGAGGGTCTGGGTCTTAGCGTCTGACTCATTGAGGAAATTCATGGAATTGCAGTGGACTCGAAGCTCCATGAGCCAGGAACTATGTCACGTTGTTTCTCTTGTACTTTCAGCCCAGCATGCATGGTTGGGGGCTTAAAACTTGTTGACCAAATGCAGAGAACCCTTGTGGCCTCTAGCCATTCTGTGAAAGCCCACACTTTTCAGTATTTTAAGGGAATATAAGTTATTTGCTCTCCTATTTTTATAAGTGAAGTCACGCCATAATTAAAGTGTGTGTGTGTGCATGTGTGTGTGAGAGACAGAAAGAGAGAGGAAGAGCGAGAGGTGGAAGAAATGCCATGTTACTGGCAGATCTGCCTGGAACAGCATTACACTAGGCTTACCAGGCTAGTTCTAGCATGTCAGTGTTGTGACCTTGTGTGACCTTGTACGAGGTCCTTATCCTTTCCTGGCCTTTTATTCTTTATCTGTACGATGAGAGGGTTATACTAAATGTTCCATAAGGATTGTTTCAAATCTGTCATTCATGACTTTTCAAATTGCCTTGATAAATGCAAATTGTAGATATGAATAATACACCTTCATTACTTACAACTATATGAGTATATACGTATAACTACATAATTATGTAGAACTCTATAAAATTAGTTGGGATTACAAAAAAGGAAAAGTTTGTCTATAGGATTATTTTTTCTGTGAAGTTAATTAAATTTATAAAAGTTTCAAAAGGAGAATGTTTGTTTAGAAACCTGTAAGGAATGTGTAGTAATGGGGTCATCACAGCTGAAATGATGTTCAAGTGAAGGACCCTGGGCTGGTGGTTCCCAGCATTCCTTCCTTCAGTCACGTCCAGTAGTGGACGCTGGCCCGAGTGGGTGCTCTGGTGGTTGCAGAGCCCCTGGGGGCCTGGGGCTTTAGGGAGAGCACAAGTCTGGGACATGGGGTTCTCAGTGCTGGCCCCAGCCCTCCTCTGTCTGCTAAGCAGAACGGGGGTTTCACCTGCCTGTCACAGGTGGTGTGAGAGCCCTTGCTGGGCGAGGACCCGGCCATGCGCTAGAGTCTCCGATGTGCTCCGAGTCCAGACCATACCCTGGATGCTGGGGTCCTAGTGCCTCTAGTCCAGGTGTGATGACACATTTTAGCCTCACCCACCCGCTAATTTATCCCCTCTCCTTCAGAGGCAGAGTGGCTTTGGCCGTGGTGCAAACCAGCCCAGGAACCAGATGAGCAGAGACATCTGCGTCCACACCTGGCCGTGCTCCTACTATTTAGAACTTGAGAAGCGATGGGTCCCTGGAAAACTTTCATTAACTTCTCTCTCACTGAAATTTACAACTGATAAAACTGGAGAAATTCTTGTCAACTTTCCCCTTTCTAGTATAATTGAGATCAAGAAAGAGGCTTCTCATTTTATCTTCAGTTCTGTCACCATCCTGGAAAAGGACCACATCAAGCACTGGTTCAGTTCCTTGCAGCCTAATCGGAATGTCGTTTTCAACATCATCGAACATTTCTGGAGAGAGTTGCTGTTGTCTCAGCCAGGAACTGCTCTTGAGGAGTCATCCTCCCCCATGACCAGGGGGAAGGAGCTGACTGAGCTGATGGCGTGTTCCCAGAAGCGTCTAGAGGATACAGCCAGAGTCCTCCACCATCAGGGGGAGCAGCTTGACAGCATCGCGAGAGGCCTGGACAAGATGGAATCTGACCTGGATATGGCTGACAGGTAGGGTAAACACTGTCTGTAACCCTAACCTGACCTTCGATGGCTGGGCTATGTTTTCCATCATCTCATGTTTAATACACATCTGGCATTCTGAAAACATGGGATATACCCCTGTTGTGGAGGGTTACACTGGGCTGGCTGCCATGGGCATACAGGTAGTAAGAGTGAGTGCACAATTCCTGAGTGCGTACCATGTGCCAGCTACAGTTGAAGTGTTTAATGAGGGTTACCTCATTTAATCAACGGACAAGCCAAGAGAATGTGTTATTCTTAGCTTCATTTTACCTGTGGGGAAACAAGGCTGAGAGGCAGGTGGCACACACTAAGTTTGTTAGCATAGTTTCTCTGCCCTTCACACAGCTGTAGAGGCACAGGGTTGGACTGAGGCCCTTTGGCTCCAGAAGCCGCCGCCTTAGCTGTCGCACCAGCCGCTCTCAGACCTCCCATCGTGGGACCCCTCCACTCTTAAAAATTGAGGACCCCAAGGAGCTTTCTTTGGTGTGAGTTATATACACCACTATTTACCATATTTTTTAAAAACTAAGAAATTAAAAAATTATTCATTGGTTTAAAAAGTATAATATTAAAGCCATGACCTAGTAACATAAGTAACATTTTTTTATGAAAAATAACTTTTATAAAGCAAAACTTGTCCAGTGAGAAGAATGGCACTGTTTGAGATTTTTTCACATCTCCTGAAAATAAAGCTTACTGGAAGACAGCTCCTCAAGCCTGCTTCTGCAGTCAGGCTGCTGTGTTGTCACGTGGCCCCTGGAAACCCCCCTGTACCCCCGGGAGAAAAGGCAAAAAAGCCAGTAGTGTCTTGGTGTTGTTAGGAAGTAGTTCGCGCTCCAGACTCCCCGGAGGGTCTCAAGGACCACACTTGGAGCAGCGCTGCACTGCCTCAAAGACAGATAGAGCAGTCAGGGACTGTAGAGTCCGGGGGGATAAGCTCTTCCCACGTCTGGAAGGGCTGCGAGGGAGCTCAGGTGAGGAGGCAGACTCAGTGATGGGCCTGAGCGCAGGCCTGCCTGCCGTGTCAGACCAGGACCTTAGAGTCCAGGGGGATAACCTCTTTCTACATCAGGAAGGGCTGCGTGGGAGCTCAGGCCGGGAGGCAACCTCAGTGACGGGCCTGAGCGCGGGCCAGCCCGCTGTCTGAGACTGGGGCTGCTTGGCTGCTGTTGTGAGAGCCTTGCCCTGAGCAACCCCACTCTGTGGTCACCGCCTGTTGCTATGCCTTGGATCCTCATTTCCTTAGTACCTATGTGGTGAAGGGCATTGCACTAGAGGTGCAGGGAACGGAGCAACAAACCTTACCCTTAAAATGGGTGCTTGTGGTGCGTGAGGGGTAGGGTTAGCAGACTCTTGTGATTTTCCTTGTGGGGACCCAGTTTTCTACCCTTCCTTTCAGTTGGGGGGCATGTGACCTAGCTGTGGGCAGAAGTGAGGTAGGTCACTTCTAGGCCTGTCCGCAGAAGCCCTCCCAACCAACTTCCAGTGCTGTCTCCCCCTCACCTGCTGGCCGTGTGCAAACAGTCATCCCCAGGACTCAAGGCCCTAGCAGAGTACAGAGACACTTGCTAGATGGAGTTGGGGTCCGCAAATAGCACCCCAGGGCAGAGCCCTGACTCCAGCCCTCAACTGGACTGCGACATGAGCAAGAAATAAACCTTTATTGGGGCTAGGCCCTTAAGATTTTGGGAGTTGTTAAGCAGTCAGCCCTCGCAGACTAACACAACATTCCTGTAGGAAATTGAGACACCTATCAAATGACTTCAGTACATGCCAGCACATAGAGACCAGAGATTTAGGAGAATGTTCATCTGCAATGGAAATCAAAGAAATGCACATTAAAATAATGGAAATTTAGGTTTTAGTCATCAAGTTAATAAAAATTGAAAGTAAGAATACACAATACCAGCTAGAGGATAGTGAATAAGCATTTTCATACACTGTTTATTAGGAATGTCAATTGGTATACTCCTTTTGGAGAACAATCTGGCGATCTGTACATCATCTTTTGTGTGTGTGTGAGGAAGATTGACCCTGAGCTCACATCTTTGCCAATCTCCCTCTTTTTGCTGAGGAAGATGGGCTCTGAGCTAACATGTGTGCCCCTCTTCCTCTATTTTGTATATGGGATGCCACCACAGCATGGCTTGATGAGCGGTGTGTATGTCTGCACCCAGGATCCAAACCTGCGAACCCTGGGCCGCCAAAGCAGAGCCTGCAAACTTAACCACTACGCCACCAGGCCGACCCCCCGTACTTCTTCTTTTGGCAAAAGACAAAGTGAAAAGATGAACCTGAGGCTGGAGAAAATATTCGTAATACACACCCATATTCCCAACAAAGGATTAATATCCAGCTAGTTAAAGAATTCTGTGACAAAAAGAGAAAAAGACAATTCAATAGAAACATTACAAAGGAGTATTTGGATTGGAGTTTAGGCTAAGTTGCTGTAACAGAGATTCAAAAATACTGTGGCTTACATCAGCTAGAAGTTTATTTCCCCCCATATAACGGTCGAAAGGAAGGTAGGAGTCCCAGGCAGGTAGAAAGCTCTGCTTTAGGTCATCACCTGGGGCCCCATGCTGGTTCAAGAGCTCCCATTGTGCCACGTGGCACCCATCACTTCATCTTTTCCAGCTGATGGGAAGGGGGAACAGGGAGGCCAGGGCAGGCACGCAGCCTTGTCTTTGAGAAGATAGCCTTGAAGCTGCACATATGGCTTCTGCTCATACCCTATTGGCAGGTCTTAGTCACATAGCCACACCCAGGAACAAAGAAGCTGGGTAGTCGTGGAGATTAAGAAAGGAGGAAGAGGGGGCCGGCCCCGTGCCTTAGCGGTTAAGTGCGCACGCTCCGCTGCTGGCAGCCGGGGTTCGGATCCCGGGCGCGCACCAACGCACCGCTTCTCTGGCCACGCTGAGGCCGCGTCCCACGTACAGCAACTAGAAGGATATGCCTCTATGACATACAACTATCTACTGGGGCTTTGGGGGAAAAATAAATAAATACAGCATCTTATTAAAAAAAAAAAGAAAGGAGAAAGAGGAGAGTGGATACCAGGGATTGGTAGTGGTCTCTGCCACTGTGTCTCACGAATGAGGAATTCCAGAAGAGCAAAGGCCTACGAATGGGAGTTCAGCACGCCTGGTTATTAGGAAAACCAACAGGTGTAGAAGTTGGATAACACCAACTGTTGGTAAAAATGTGGGGTGATGAGAACTCGAATGTTTCTGTCAACATTGTAAATTGGTTCAGCCACTTGGGAGAGCAGTTGGCAATACCTAGCACAGCTGAAGGTGCACAGACCCTATGACTGGGCCATTCCACTTTGAGGTCTGTATCCCAGGGAAGCACTGGCACATGTGCGTAGCACATGTGGACATGGTCATTCGTCGAAGGATTGGGGACGGTTGTGAGCACTGCAGTCACTTGCTCCTCGGGGGGATGGGTACATAAGCTGTGTTTTATCACAAAACAGACTAATTCTTCTCTGTTAACTGCTATGTATTAGATCTACACGTATCAACGTGGAAAATCCCAGAGCAATGTTAAAAAACAAGCAAATTGCAAATAGATGTGTTTTAAGTGTGCGCAGTGGTCCTCCAGGAGGAGCACAGAGAGTCAGACTGGAAACCTGAGCAGGGAGGGTCCGTCCAGGCGGCACATTGCGCAGCTCCGTGCTAGCAGCTGACTGTTTCATGGCTGTGACGCTGCTTAGGCTGGGTCTTTTCAAGTCTGTCGTGGGGCCTCAGTGAACCCTCTCATTTGTCACCAGATCTGAAGAAACTTCTTGTCTTATTTCTTCTCAGTTTTTAGAATGCGTTCCTTTTGGAACTCTTGTTTTTTGATTGTTTGACTTCCTGGACTGGTCTTGTAATATCCTTCTCATTTTTCTTTCCCCTTGTCTTTTTGTTCTACTTATACTTCTTGAATTTTATCTTCCTACCCATCTATTTTTGTTACAGTATTTTTAATTTATTATGTTTTGTTCTCCAAATGTTCCTTTTGCATAGCAGCCTGTTATTGCTTCGTGGATGTCCTGTCCTTTATCTCTTAGATGTCACGGATGGCCTGTGCGGGAAGGGCCTGGGGCCTGTCTCCCGTTCCTTCTCCCAGTCTCAGCACTGCTCCCCCTGCAGCTGAGCCAGAAGTCGCCAGCTGGCTCCCTGCAGAGGGAGCAGACCGGATCTGCCTCTGGGGAGAGGTGGGGCCCAGCAGCACAGGAATGGGTTAGCACCGGATCTCTCACCATGCTCTTCATGAACGGACGTTCAGCCTATTCTGTTTGCAGCCCCAAGGTCACCCGTTTTCAGAGATTCCTGATACCACTGATTTTCCACATTTAGAGTTCTGCAGTGCGACTTGGGTCGCTTTTCAGCTTCTCCCACTGCTTCCTTACAGTTTACTTTCTTGGATTTGCTAAGTTTATCTGTTTTTCAGTTTCCAGAATTTTGTTGCTGCTGTCTCTTTGTCCTTGGGGAAAATGTGTATATTAAGTTTTCCATCTGCAATATTATCATTTATAATAAATAAATATATACTTAGTCTTGTCTCATTTCTGGCACAGAGCTCCTAAAAATTTCGTAAGTGATGAGAGCGATAAAGGTGCCTTAATATTCACAACAAGCCCCTGTCAGCCACACCCGATTTACGTTAATGAGGTGACTCTGGAAAGCCCCTAAGGATGGGGCTGGTCACCAGGGGAACCGACTCTGTGTTTAGAGGGCTGGAACGTTCTGTTCTACTCCCTGACCCCTGGGGAGGGGAGAGGGGCTGGAGGGTCAATCAATCACCAGTGGCCAGTGATTTCATCAGTCATGCCTGTGTAATGAGGCCTCCAGAAAACCCAAAACGCCGGGTTCTGAGAGCTTCTGGGCTGCGTGGAGGTGCTGGGAGGGGTGGCTCCCCTGGAGAGGGTGTGGAAGCTCTGAGCCCTTTCCCCAGACCTGCCCTCTGTGTCTCTTTATCTGGCTGTTCCTGAGTTA